AATATATTAATAATATTATTTGATTAGTTTGATCAAGAATTAATTTAGAATTAATTATGTGATCAAAAGATAACTAATTAAATATATGGGTTGATTATGTAAATCATCCATATCTTGTATAGTGGGCTAAGAGGCTCCATGGATTATCAAGTTGGGTTCCACCCATAGGATGCTCCATGGGAGTTACAAACCCATGGGTCATGGAAATGAAGAGTCATGACACATTAGGGTTTAACCCTAGATGTGTCAACACTATATAAGAAACATGTTCTCCACCTAAAATCGGCTACACTAAGAAACAAGAGGGCTTGGCCGATTTTTGAGAAGTGTGTGTTCTCTCATAAGTTCTTCCAAGAGCATTTGGTGTTGTGTGAAGCATTTGAGGCATCACACTTGGGGTGCTAGGCTCACAAGGTTTCAAGGAACACAAACAACAACAAGGTAAGTTATTCTATCTATACTTTAAGTTAAAATTGTTCCCCATGTATGCTAGATAGGAATATAACCTTGGAATTCAACTTTGCATGATAATTAGACAAACATAGATCCAAGGTTATTAGGGTTGCATGTACACTTAGGAAGTGTTAGAATGCTCAAAACCCATCAGAAACATGAACGAGCGGATGAATACAGGACTCAGGTGGCAAATCCAACTTGTAAGCGACTCGACTGAATTTTCTTGTAATACGATAGGGTCCAAAAAATTGGGGAGTTAACTTCTCAAATCTACGTTTGGCCAAACTTTTCTGACGATAAGGATGTATTTTCAAAAAAATATAGTCACCCACTTGGAAAGAGATGTCACGACGTTTAGAGCTAGCTTGTTGGCACATACGATCTTGAGCTTTATGAAGATTGTGGCGAATCAACTTTAACATATCATCTCGACCCATCAGTTGCTGCTCCAATTCGACATTTTTAGTTTCCCCTTGATATAAGGAAGCAAGGAAGGTGGCTCCCTGCCATAAACCACATGAAGGGGGTAGTACCCGTGGACGTATGATAACCGATGTTATACGAATATTCAGCCCATGGTAAGTACACACTCCACTTCACCGGTTGTTCGTGAGCAAAGCAACGGAGGTAAGCCTCAAGACAACGATTAGACTTTAGTTTGCCCGTCAGTTTGTGGGTGATAACTAGTGCTCAATCGCATCTTAGTTTGGGTTAACCGAAATAACTCCTGCCAAAAATGACTAAGAAAACCACATCCCTACAAATACAATAGAACGGGGACAGCCATGTAGACATACAATTTGCTTGCAGAATGTTGAGGCTACGACTTTGGCAGTAAAGGGATGAGATAAGCAAATAAACTGAGCATATGTACTTAAACTACCCACAACAACCAAAATTGTATCAAATCGACCTGAAGGAGGTAATCCCACGATGAAATTGATATGTGCATATTTAGTCATATATTTTGTATAGAATATTAATATTATTTTGAATATTTTTATTGCAATTAATGAACTAAAGGTACTTAACTATTTCTAAATTGTATTTTCAGCCTAAAAGAAATGCTCGGAAGAAAATGGAAGCGGGAATAGCAATCGGGAGCTCGGGAAGTAAATAGAGAAGAAAACTATCAAAAATGCTGAAGAAATCGACGAGTCAATACCTGAATTGACGAGTCACGTCAAACATTCGCTAAGCAATAGAAGTCCTTGTCGTACATGGATTTTTAATGAAGGACTCGGCGAGTTGGTCCCTGGACTCGACGAGTCGACTCTGTTTCCAGAAATCTATAAATAGGGACTTTGAGATCGTAACCCGGTTTTTCTAATGAACCCTTGGAGGCTAAGCTGCGATTGAAGGTGCTGCTAGATCGTAGGAAACTGAAGAATCAACCCTACATTCGATTTTGAGGAGAATCAAAGCAAATCAAAGTTACTCTTTACTTAATCTCTTGTTTGAAACATGTGTGAACAAATTGATTTTGTTTTTGAGTTATTTTCTACTGTAATCATTAGCTAAAACTCATATCTTCTGTTTACCATAGATGATTTTGTGATTATGGTTTGATTTTGTGGTTAGATTAATTTAAATTGGTGAACTTTGTTATGTTAAGCTTGTTAAAGATCTTTATGTGTTAACAATAACTTTTTTCTGTTAATTAACCAATAACTAAGTTGCATGAACATCTCTTAGTTTCTAAACTCATATGATTTATGTGAAAACATTGTTATATGCCTAGGAATAGCGAACGTGAAACTAGGGTTAAAGTCAATAATTCACCCGTATGTTGTCGTCTAGATAATGCATCAGCACTACGGTTCTCTTTCCCAGTTCGATGACTAATAGAGAAATCATAAGGCATGAGCTTGAGTAACAATTGTTGCTGCTCAGTTGTGGTAATGCATTGCTCAAGCAAAAACTTTAATGTGTAATGATCGGTTTGAATAAGAAAATGGCACCCCAACAAGTGATGATTCCTTTTATGTACTGCTAAAACCAATGCAAGTAATTCACGATCATAAGCAGATTTGAAATGGTTAAAAAAGAAATAGTTTCTAAAATAAGCCACTGGATGATCATCTTGAGACAGTATAGCTCCCACCCTGTCAGATGAGGCGTCACATTCCACCATAAAGGTTTTTGAGAAATCAGGTAGCTAGAGAACTGGAGTAGATAACAGCGTTTGTTTCAATTTATCGAATGCTTGCAATGCCACTTCAGACCATAAAAATCCATCTTTTTTAGTAAGAGTTGTGAGTGGTCTTTCAATGATTCCATAATCTCTCGCAAATCTTCTATAATACCCGGTAAGACCGAGAAAACCATGAATGTCTTTAATAGTAGTTGAGACCAACCATGATTGAATGGCTGATATTTTGTCTTGTTTTACTTGAACCCCTTCTGAAGTGATAACATGCCCAAGGAACACCACCTTCTGTTGTCCAAAGCAACATTTTGAAAACTTGGCAAAAAAACTGATTATCTTGAAGCAATTTCAACGTCCGCTCTAAATGGAACATTTGTTGTTCCATGTTAGAACTGTAAATTAAAATGTCATCAAAGAAAACGAGTATAAACCTTCGTAAATATGGACGAAATAATTCATTCATAACCTATTGAAAAGTGGAAGGGGTGTTCGTTAACCAAAAGGCATAACCTTAAACTCATAATGTCCTGAATGAGTTTGAAAAGCTGTTTTCGGGGTGTCTTGGGTCTGTACTCGGATTTGATAATACCCCGAATGTAAATCCAATTTTCAGAATATAGTAGCACCATATAACTCATCCAACAACTCATCAATATTTGGGATCGGGTATCTGTCAGGTATGGTAATTTTATTCAAAGCTCTATAGTCAACACATATCCTCCATGTGTTGTCTTTCTTTTTTACCAATAGAACCGGGCTCGAAAATGGGCTAGTGCTAGGTTGAATAAACCCAGCTGTTAATAGTTGTTCCACCTGGTTTTCGATCTCGGTTTTCTGAGAAAATGGGTATCGATATGGTCGAATGTTTGGAGGTGTTGAGTTTGGAACTAAATGAATTGAATGTGTTTGTGATTGGATAGGAGGTAAATTACATGGTTCCTCAAAAATAGGATTATATTTGGTAACAATAGGGACTAAAGAAGATGGTATGTCGAGATTAGTGTCCGGTTCTACAGCTAGGTGTTGAAAGCTGGATGATTTTTGGGGTCCTGTTGAGATACCTTCCCATCTATGGTAAATATCATGAACATTTCTTTCCAATTTACTTGAATTGTGTTCAGTGTGGCCAACCACTGAACTCCCAAGACTATATCAGGTCCACAAATGGAAAATGGATAAAAATCTAGTACAACCTTAAGATCATTAATCTGTATTTAAAGATCCCTGCAAACTTTGCTACAACGTATGACATCCGAATTCCAATTTGGACCTCAAAAG